TATAGCTATATTATATGTCATATCATATAAAGCATTATATCATGCATTTTATATATACTATATAATAATATAATATAAATATATAATGTAATTATGCACTATAATACATAATGCATAATATACAATATATTATAGCATATAAACAATGTATAATGCAGTATATAAATTATATATAATAAATTGTATATATATCACATTATATCATATAATAAATAAATTATACACTATACAATATAATACATAATATAACATATTATCACATTATAATATAATATAACAGTGTATATTATATATTATATAATATACCATGATATTGTAGCTTATATATTATATATTGCATGTATTATATAATGTTACATTATATAGAATATCACATCTATATTATATAATATACATAATATAAAACATATACTATATATTTTATTACATGCAATATAATATATAATATATTATGCATTATTATATATTACATATCATACATATTATATAACATACAATATAATATATCATGAATATTATATAATAGATTATATAATATGATATATTGTATATGTAATACACTTTATATACTATATGTACCATATTATATATTACAGGTTATTATATACTATAATCATATATTATATATTATATATTTAATATGTAATACATATTATATTGTACATATTATATATGCATACATAATGTATTATACATCATATATTATATATGACTATATAATATTATATAATATTACATATAATATATGCAATATATTGTATATGTAATATATTATATATTATATAATAGCATATCATATATACTATAGAATACATAATGTATTATCATACAATGTATAATGTTACATATTATATATGTGATATACTATATAATACATATATTATATATACTATATATGCAATATAATATACTATATCATATATTATTATAATATATAATATATAATATAGTATTTTGTAATATTATATTATAGTATATAATAAATTATATAGTATAATGTATTGTTATATAATAATGTATAATAATATAGATGTAATATATTATATAATATATAGTATGTTTTATATATTACTTATTTTACATGAGATTATATAGTATATGTAATATATTATATATTATATAATACAATTCATAATATAATATAATCATATGATACAGTGTATTGTATAGTGTAATAATTTATTTATTATATGATACAATGTGATAATATTATATACAATTTATTATATATAATTTATATATATTTATATATAAATATATTTATATCTATATATTTATATAGTATTATATACAATATATTGAAGATATTATATATTAGATATGAATTATATATTATACAATATACTATGTATTCTGTAATATATAATATGCTGTATAATTACATTTATAGTATATAATATATTATACATATATCACAATATATGATATAGTATATATAATTATAATGCATAATGCCTAATTATTACATTATACATTATACTATATAAATATATATTATATAAAATACATATTAATATGATAATGTATAATGTGATAATTATGCATTATGTATTTTAATATATATGAATATGTATATTTATGATATATAGTATGTACAATATAATTATATGTATTATAATATATTTTTATTTATAATATGTATTATATAACATATATACAACATATATATTATATATTATATATTATATTATATATACAATATATAATATTATCATATGTTATTTATTATATAATATATAATTATATAATATATAATATATAATGTATAATATATGTAATATATATTTATATATTATATATAAGCTACAGATATATAATATACAGAATATACAGTATATAATGCAGAATATATATAATTGTATAAATATATGTAGCAGATATATTTATTTATTTAGGATGTAGAGTTATGGACAGAGAGAGGGAGACAGAGAGAGAGGTCTTCCATCTACTGTTTATCTCACTAAATGGCTGCAACTGCCAAAGCTGTGCTGATCCGAAGCCAGGAGTCAGGAGCTTCTTCCAGGTCTCCACATGGGTGGAGGGGCCCAAGGACTTGGGCCATCTTCCACTGCTTTCCCAGGCCATAAACAGAGAGCTGGATCAGAAGAGGAGGAGCCAGGACTAGAACTAGTATGCATATGGGATGCCAGTGCCACAGGCAGAGGCTTAGCCTACTGCGCCACAGCGCCAATCCCCTTATTTGGTTTTAGTATCAAGCTAATGCAGGCTTTCTAAAATGAATTTGGAAAAATTATCTCTTATTTTTTTGGAATAACAAGAATTTATGCTATTTTTTATTTAGCATTATGTAGAATTCAGCAATGAAGTCATCTGTTCCTAAGCTTTTTATTGATGGGAGTTTTTTTATTACTGATTAGAATGCTGCTACTCATTATTGGTGTGTTTAGCTATTTCATTTATTCATGGTTAATACTTGGTAAAGGTGTATGAGACCAGGTATTTGTCCATTTTTTTCTAGGTTATAATTATTGTTTATACTTGTTCATAAAATCGCTTTTATTTCTATATATATAATTTCTTTTATTTCTATAGCATCAGTTCTTACCTCTGAAATTATTTATTTAAATCTTCTGTTTTGTTCTTAGTTCATCTAGCTCATTTTCTTATGAGAGAGAGAGAGAGACAGAGAGGAGGGTCTTGCTTCCGTTGGTTCACTCCCCCAAATGGCTGCTATGGCTGGCACGCTGCACTGATCCAAAGCCAGGAGCCAGGTGCTTCCTCCTGGTCTTCCATGGGGTGCAGGGCCCAAGCACTTGGGCCATCCTCCACTGCCTTCCTGGGTCACAGCAGAGAGCTGGACTGGAAGAGGAGCAACCAGGACTAGAACCTGGAGTGCCAGTGCTGCAGGTGGAGGATTAGCCTAGTGAGCCATGGTGCCACCCTGCTTATGTTTTCAATGAAGATCCTTATCAAGAAACTCTGTTTCATTTTTTTGGTGTTGATTTTTATTTTCTATTTCACTTATTTCTACTTTGAGTTTTTTTCCTTATACTAACTTTGGGTTTCATTTGTCCTTATTTTTCTAATTCCTTAAAGTGCAGTGATAAATCATTTGAGATCTTTCTGATGTTTTGATGTAAGCACTGATTGTAATAAACTTTCCTCTTAGTACTGCTTTTGCTGTTTAGTATGCCATTTTCCATTTCCATTTCTTTAAAGAAATTTTAAAATCTTCTTAATTTCTTCCTTGATCCATTGGTTGTTGAGGTGTAAAGGCATTCAATTTCCATGTGTTTATGTTGTTTTCAAATTTTTTTTTGTTACTGATTTTTAGTAACAGATTGTGGTCAGAAAAGATACTCAGTATGCTTTCTATTCTTAAAAATTTGTTGAGACTTATTTTGTGAATGACCTATGATCCATCCTGAAGAATGGTCCATGTACTGTTAAGAATATGTATTCCGCAAATGTTGGACGGAATGTTCTGTAAGCGTCTATCACATTCAGTTGATCTAGGGTGCGATTTGACCCTGCTATTTCTTTATGTATTTTTCTGTTTGTATGATCTGTCCATTTCCGAAAATGGGAAGCTCAAGTTCCCTACTATTATTGTATTAGAGTCAATATCTCAATTTAAGTCTACTAACATTTGATTCATGTATTTGGGTGCTCTGATATTGGATATTTAAATTCCTCTTTCTAGTTTGAACAATTTATCACTAGGTTGTGATCTTCCTTGACTTTTTATATTGCAATTGATTTAAAGTCTATTTTATTTGACAGACGTATGAATACTCACGCTTTCTTTTGGGATGCATTTGCATGGACTATCTTATTCCATTCCTTCACTTCCAGTCTACCCATGTCCTTAGAAGGGAAGTGAGTTTCTTGTATCATATGGTTATGCTTTTTCTTCATTCAGCAACTGGATGTTTTTAAAAAAGATTTATTTGATGGAGCTTATGTTGAGAAATAAAGTGTTGTACTTGATCACTGATCATGAACTGCCTCTGTTGTAACTGTGGATCGAAGAGCTAGCAGAGAAATTTGTACTTTTATGCGTGTGCTCAGAGTTAACAGACTGTGGTAACAGAAATCTGAAACGTATTGTTGGAGGACTGGTGTTATTTAACTAAATCATGATAGCTGAAATTTGTGCTTATCAGAGACACACAGGACGAGGACTGCCTGTATTTTCCTCTCTGACATTAATAGGGAATACATCTTTACCTTGATGATAATGTAATTTTGTAAATACAGAAAAACATTTTGAAAATTCCTTGATATGACAGGTTCGACTACTTTCACTTCTATGTGGCTATTACGGATATCCAGAAACTTAACCATGGGTCAGAAAACCAGGACTTTACTTCTAATCCTAGCGCTAATGTACCACATAACATGAGAAATCACGTAAATTCCTTTGGACTTGGGGCCCATATTGAGGTGCAGCGGGGTAAGTCACTGCTTATGATATTGGAGTGCTGGTTCAAGTCTTGGCTGCTTCACTTCCAATCTAGCTTCCTGCTAATAATGTGCATGAGAAGGCAACACATGACGGGCCAAGTATATGGACCCTGGTCACTCGTGTAGGAGACCATGATGGAGTTCCTGACTCTTACTTCTGCCTGGCTCAGACCTGCCTGCTGCAGACATCTGGGGAGTGAACCAGCAGATGCAAGATCTTTCTCTGTCTCCCTCTCTCTCTATTGCTCTGCCTTTCAAATAAATAAATAAATCTTTAAAAAATAAAAAGCTCATGTTTTAATTTTTATCTTGTGATTCAATTTTTCCCATGGACTTTATTAAGTCTCCTCATAATTCTTTAATTAATAACTTTAATTAAAATATTTCAGGCTTTCCCTGTACTTTTCCATGGCGCCCTGTGGTGCTATTTTCTATGGTCAACATAACATAAGAATTAGAGAATTCATACCATAATGGTTCATAAATGTTTTGGAATTCTTGAGAAAAGGTAATTTATCTAATTAGCCTATTCATGGGCCAGGTGCACGCAAACACTGTGAAGCTGGACTCACCCACTTTCAACCTGCCTGTGACCTCCCCATCTGAGTTGCGAGCATTTACAGTCACATTCTGGGTCGACTGGAGGAGCAGAGATGAGTCCTAGGAAGGAAATCACAGAATTAGCAAAGGAGATGCTATTTTAATGATCATATCACTTATAGACTTAGGACTTAAATAAAATAAATTTCTGTATAGTCACAGACCCTGGGAGCCTATTAAATTTGTTGCTAAAACCATTAAAAATTTTGAGCTATGTTAAGGGAGTAAATGTATCAGCTTTTCCATAAACTATAACTTTATGGGCTTATTAAGATTTTGTGCACTGGTTACAACGTGCCAAGTCTGTTCTCAAGGTAAAGATCTAAAATGAACAAATTTTAATCAACGCTCTTTTTTTTTTTTTTCCAAGGAATTGAAATTCCATTTCTGGTTATACCCAGGACACGACACATTTTAGAAACATAAATCAGAGAATGTTCGCTTCTCCTACAGGAAATATCATTCAGAGTGGGTTAAGCTGCTGCTTACCATGACAGCATCTGATATCAGAGAGCTGATTCCAGCCCTGGCTGCTCCACTTCCAATCCAGCTTTCTGGCACCGTGTTTGGGAAAGTGGCAGAAGATGGCCCAAGTATCGGGGACCCTGCCTCCCATTTGGGAGACCAGGATGAAGTTCCTGGCTCCTGGCTTTCACCTGGTGCTCCAGACCTGGCTATTGTGCCCATTTGAGGAATGGACCAATGGGTGGAAGTTCTATCATTCTCTCCCCCTCTGACACCCTACATTTCAAATAAATAAAATCTTAAAACACAGAACTCAGTAATTTGGCTGTTGGAATCAGGTAAGTTTATGGCTCACTCAGTAGAAACTAAGTCTCTTCCAAAGTGGTGGGTAATTCTGTGATTTTTTTCAGAGGAAAAGAAGTTTAAGACTATATATAAGAGATCAGATTTTTTTCTAATTTGCAGTACGGAAACAGATGAATCTATCAGCAATTATTATTTAACAATGCGACCTTTTTATATTTTATTTATTTTATTTTTTCACTCTTTTTAAACTTTTATTTAATAAATATAAATTTCCAAAGTACAACTTTTGGATTATAGCGGCTTTTTCCCCCCATAACCTCCCTCCCACTCACAATCATCCCATCTCCCACTCCCTCTCCTATCCCATACATATCAAGATTCATTTTCAATTATCTTTATATACAGAAGATCAATTTAGTATATACTAAGTAAAGATTTCAACAGTTTGCGCCCACACAGAAACACATAGTATTTTTTTTAACTTTTATTTAATAAATATAAATTTCCAAAGTACAATTTTTGGATTATAGCGGCTTTTCCCCCCATAAACTTCCTCCTACCTGCAACCATCCCATCTTCCACTCCCTCTCCCATCCCATCACATCAAGATTCATTTTCTTTTTTTTCATAATACACATTTTTTAAATTTTTATTTAATAAATATAAATTTCCAAAGTACAGTTTATGGATTACAATGGCTTTTTCCCTCCCATATCTTCCCTCCCACCTGCAACACTCCCATCTGGAGTGTTGGACTGCAGACATGGGCCTGATAGAGCTGAGTGCTGAGTTGATGGTGAACTTGCCCACTCCATTTTGCTTTATGAGAATAAAAGTTCCCACAGTCTGAGGATACCTAATCTGAAATGCTTAGGACCAGTAATATTACAGAACATTTTGGATTTTGGAACATTTGCATACACATAATGAAACATCTTAGGGACAGGACCCAAGTCTAGATGTGAAATTCATCCATATTTCATATACACTTTGTACATAGAGCCTGAAGATAATTTCATATGAGGGACTCCAAAAATTCATGGAAAATGGAACTAAAAGATGTTTATTTTGGGGCAGAAAATTGAAATATATTTATGGTTTTTTCATGCACATTTTCCATGAGCTTTTTGAAGTTTCCTTGAACAATATTTTAATAATTTTGTGCCAGAAACTAAGTTTTGTGGAGTTGAATTTCCCATTTGTGGTTCATGTTGATGTTCAAAAAGTTTTGGAGTTTGGGTTCTTGGGCTAGAGATGCTCAACATATATCAAATTATGGCACTCATCAAAGGAGGTAACTTTCTCTGAAGGGAGGAGAGAACTTCCACTTTGAATATAGCCTTGTCTAAATAAGATTGGAGTTTGTGAACTCAAGAGGCTTCCATAGCCTTGGCAGTTCATGACAAGAGCGTTGGGTGATTACTGACGTCATAAATAACAGTGTCAATTGTTAAATCAACAACGGGAGTCACTGTGCACCTACTCCCCATGTGGGATCTCTGTCCTTAATGTGTTGTACTATGTGAATTAACAGTAAAACTAGTATTCAAACAGCACTTTATACTTTGTGTGTCTGTGTGGGTGCAAAGTGTTGAAATCTTTACTTAGTATATACTAAGTTGATCTTCTCTATATAAAGATAATTGAAAATGAATCTTGAAGAATGAGATGGGAAAGGGAGTGGGAGATGGGATGGTTGTGGGTGGGAGGGAGGTTATGGGGGAAAAGCCACTATAATCCAAAAGTTTTACTTTGGAAATTTATATTTATGAAATAAAAGTTGAAAAAAAAACAAATTATGGCACTAGTAGCTGGGTATTCTGCTTTTTTTTTTTTAAGATTTATTTATTGATTTGAAAGTCAGAGTTAGAGAGAGAGAGAGATCTTCCATCCACTGGTTTACTCCCTAAATGACTGCAATGGCCAGAGCTGGGCCAATCCAAAGCCAGGAGCAAGGAGTTTCTTCCAGGTTTCTTACCTGGGTGCACAGTTCTGCTGTTCTCTCTGGCACACTGGTAGGGAGTTGGATCAGAAGTAGAGCAGCTGGGACTCGAACCAGTGCCCATATGGGATGCTGGCTCTACAGGCATAGGCTTTACCTGCTATGACACAGAGCTGACCCCATATTCTGTCATTTGTTGTAAAGCTCTCTTAATTGAAAAATTGGCAGGTCAGAAACTGCAGTGTATCTACATTAACAAGAAAACAATACATGTATTCTCTATTACTTAACAAATCTCATATTAAATTATACTTGTCCTGTAATCTACATTTTAAGAATCTACAGCAAAACAATCAAGAGGTACATTAAGGAACAATTGTAATTTTTTTTTTTTTCTGGGAAATACAGGAGCATTGTTTTCATTTTAGAAAAGGAAATCAAGAGCTACACAATGTGAATTATTTTTTCTATTTCGGTTTTCCTAATTAGCTAGTCATGCTATTTTTCTTTAAGAAACGATGTATTCATCTGTTTGAAAGGCAGAGTTACAAAGGGAGAGGGAGAAACAGACGAAGGAGAGAGACAGAGAAAGAGAGAGAGAGAGGGGGAGATATCTTCAATGTGCTGGTTCACTCCCTAATTGGCTGCAACAGCCAGGACTGGCCAGGCTGAAGCCAGGAACTTGGAACTGCATCTGGGTCTCCCACATGGGTAGCAGGGGCCTAAGCAGGGAGCAGCCAGGACTCAAAGCAGAGCCCATACGGGATACAGCTATCACAGCAGCGACAACCTGCTGTGCCCTGCTGGTGATGTCCTTTAAAAAATCTAGAGCATTTGCAGAATGACAGCAATATAGAAGAACACTTTGTTTTGAATTCTGAATGTATTTATTTGACATAGTGTGACACTCAGCACTATTTTAACTTTAGGGTGTAGATAAAAGAGGCAGAGGACATGGTGTCTTTTGTCAACAGTGTGTGGTCCACGTAAGGGACCATGGGAGAGAGCATGAAAGACAACTAACAATATAAGGTGTATTTGGTAGGGCCTCATATGGATCAAAATTGCCATAAGAGCTCTCAATAATCCTCTGTGACCACTTCATACACACACATAGTTAATTATTTCAAATGAACCTAACATGGGAAAGGTAGAGACTAATTTAGTCAATGAAGCAACATCCTTAAGAATTCTATCATATAGTATGTGAAAAGTTATATTAGCTGGCATGAAGATATTCATTATATTCTCTGACCATTCTTTGAATGGTGGTGGGATCCACAGGGGTGTCTCCAGTTAACAGTCTGTGTCCTCTGTTTATAAAATGATCTATCTGGTTGTATGCTTATGAATGTTTACTGGTCTTCTGAAAGATTGTCTTTGGGTTTCATTAATTTTCTCTATTGTTTCAACATTTTCTATTTTACTTTGGATCTCTATTCTTTCATACTTTCTCTTACTTTGCTCTTGTTTTTCTAGTTTTCAAGGAGGAAACGTAAGACATTTATTTTATTCTTTCCTGACATAGCCCTTTATGTCCATAAATTTCCCTCTAAGCATTGCTTTAGCAACGTCTCTCAAATTTGAAATACTGGTATTTTTTTCAATTTTATTCAGTTGGAAATACTCTTTAATTTCCTGTTTGTTTTCTTCTTTGATCCATGGGTTATTTATAAATACTTTACTTAATTTCCAAATATTTGGAAAATTTTCAGATCGTTACTGCTATTAAATTTATTGTGGTCAGATAACATGTTTTATGACTTAAATGCTTTTAAATATATTGATATTGTTTTATGACCCCAAACATAATGTGTATTGATAAACGTTCCTTGTGCAACTGACAATAATTGTGTTCTGCTCTTATTGAGTGGAGTGCTTTGTAAATGTTAATTAGGTCAGATTGATTTATAATATCCAGGTTTATTGTATGTCCATTTGTTCTACCAATTATTGAGAATATGGTGTTGAAATCTTTGTTGTGGATATTTCCAGTTTTTCTTATATTTCTATCTGTTTTGACTTCACGTATCTTGAAGTTCTGATATAGGTATATAAATGTTTAGTTACTCATACATAAAGGTTGCCAAATGTACTCCATTACCATCTGAAATGACTTCTTTCTGTATCTATGAAACCTTTATCTATTTGCTTTAAATCCACCTTATTTATATAGCCACTCCAACTTTCCTTTGATTAGTGTTAGTATAGTACATCTTTGATTCTTTTCACTCTTAACCTATTTGTATTTTAATAATTAGGGTGTCTTTCTTGTAGGTGGCATATACTTGAGTTTTGCTTTTTCATTCAGTGTGACATTGTCTTTTAATTAGAATGTCTAGCCATGGATTTCATGTGATTGTTGCCAACTTGCTATTTATTTGATTCCTATTTATTCCCCCCTTCCTTTAGCTTCCTTTTGGATTGAGTGTAATTAATTATTTAACTTTTCATCTTTTTGGTTGATGTGCTAACTAAACTTTTTTAGTTATGGCTACTTCAGATTTATATTATACATCTTTAATTTATCATGACCCCTTTTTACCAGTTCATTTATTTTTTATTTTTTTAAAGATTTTATTTATTTATTTGAGAGGTAGAGTTACAGACAGTGAGAGGGAGAGACAGAGAGAAAGGTCTTCCTTCTGTTGGTTCACTCTCCAGATGGCCACAATGGCTGGAGCTGAGCCAATCTGAAGCCGGGAGCCAGGTGCTTCTTCCCGGTCTCCCATACGGGTGCAGGGGCACAAGGACTTGGGCCATCTTCTACTGCTTTCCCAGGCCATAGCAGAGAGCTGGATTGAAGTGGAGCAGCTGGGACTAGAACCAGCGCTCATATGGGCTACCAGCGTCACAGGCAGAGGATTAACCTACTGTGCCATGTAGCCGGCCCATATCAGTTCATTTATGATATAAGAACCTTACAATGATATTTTCATTTTCTTTCAGGGTCTTCTTTTTTTGCTATTGACATACGTTTTATTTTTATCCTTTTATAAACTCACAAATACGTTGTCATTATTTCTGCTTTAAGCAGTCATGTAGATTCTAAACTGTTTGAAAATTTCTTTTTGTTTAGCCACATACTCACCATTTCTGGCATTTTATTTTTTTGTGAAGATCAACACTTTTATCTGGAATCAGATTTTCTTAGTCTGAAAGACACCCTTTAAAATTTCTTGCAGTGCTGGTTTGCTGCGATATTTTCTTTCAGTTTTAGTAAGTCTGATTAAAGTAGTTATTTTGGCTTCATTTTTTGAAAGCTTTTTTTCTAGGTATAGAATTCTAGTTGAGTTGTTTCATTTTTCTTTTAATATTTTGAACTTGGTGCTTTGATGTCTTCCGGTTGGCTTGTTCCTTTTTAGCAGTTCAGTGTCATCCTTTTCTTTGTTCCTTTGTATATAACACACTGTTTATCCATGGTTGCTTTCAATATTTCCCTTCACCTCTGCTTTTAAGCAATTTGATCATGGTGCATCTTGATGTTGTTTTTTCTTGTTTCTTCTGTCTGGCGTTCATCAGACCATGTCTGATCTGTGAATTTAAAGTTTTCATCACACTTGGGACAAATGTCACACTTTTTTTTTTCAAATAATATTTTCCCTCCCATCTCTCTCTTTTCCATTGGAGATTCCACTTAGACATACACACAAGGTGCCTCAAGTCACTGATACACTGTTAATCTTTTTCCAGTCTTTTTTTTTTCCCTCCAGTTCCTGGGAGCAAGTTGCCATCTTGTTATTTTTATTTTTATTTTTTTTCAGTCGTTTTCTTCTGTGCTTCATTTTGGAGAATATCTGTTGCTATGCCTGCTATTTTTCCTGCCCAGTGACATTTTTTTAAATTACAGATACTTTTCATCTCTAGACTAACTTGGGTCTTTTCTGTCTTTCCATCTTTCATGCCTCTCTTTAACGCAGTTGTATTTGATGTGTGCGTACAGTTGAAACATAGCTTCCTTGGACTTTGTAGACTTCTAGATGATTTGTCAGAATGAGCCAGGGCAGCATTTGTTCTACTGTTGGTTTTCTGCCACTCTTGCACCAATGTCCTTCTGTCTCGTGTTGCTGTCCCAGGACTTTGGAGTGTCTCCACTCTGGCTGGTGGGAACATGAATTGATCCCAATCTTGTGTGAACTCCAGGGGGGTGGGTCCTTCTGGTTCCCTTCTAGGAGTTATTTCCTCAGTCTCAAGGTGCTTCCTCACACACCTGCAGACATGGGGCAGTGGGCGAAGAGTGAAGGGAGCAACTCTGCTGTCTCTGGAGACCTGGGAACCCCAGCTGCCTTTGGTTCCAGGTTACTCTCAACTCTAGGGAGAGGATCTGCCTCTACTTGGTTCCCCTCCCTTGCTGTGGCTGGAAACTCTCTCAAGGCAGTGACCTGGGCAAGTCTTTCCTCAGGGACAACTGTCTCTTAAGCTGCCCACTGTCCAATATTTGAAAACCACTGATCATGTACTTCCCCCTCCCCTTTTATTAGTTGCTTTGTGCAGGAATAAATCTATTCCCTTTCATTTCTACCCTATAATGATTTGTTTTATTTTTACATTTTTTTGTTCTTTTAATGAAAACTTCTCAAAAATAGCTGTATCTCATTTCAAGGGAAGTTTTATTGCCACAAATTTCTGCTGCATTTCATTTTTGGTCACAGTTATAAATAACAGTTTGAGCATTCCAAAATCCAAAAATCTGAATCCTAAATTCTCCTGAATATGAAACTGTATGAGAACTGACATGACACTCTTGACCTCAGGTATTAGGCTGCAGTTGAAACACAGGTACATAAAGCATGGTATAAAATTACCTTTAGGCTATGTGTATAAAATGAATACAAAACATAGATATATTTCGTGTTTAGATTTGGGTCACATTCCTAAGATATCTCATGATGCAGATGCGAATATTCCAAAACTGAAAAAAAAAAAAACCCAAACGTGAAATACTTCTGGTTACAAACATTTCAGATAAGCAATAGTTAACCAGTAAAACCTTTTTGTTTCATCAGTGATCATGACTATGTGCTTGGGTTAATGAGCAGGCTAGACGGCTTTAAACCAGGAATTCCTTTTTGACTTTTTGAGTAATCAGATGTTGGAGGCCAGAGTACCATGTCGATTTATGTAGAATGAAAGAATTCTCTCAGTCCAGGAATACAGATAAAGGAACTACATGTCAAATTTTGCAATGTCATAAAGAAATTTCTTTTCTGTAGTTTCATGGAAAGTTGCTACATTGACTCATCTTTGGAAAGGAAACTGGTAACTAAAATATCAGTGCATACAGAAGTTTCGAGACAGTTTTGTTCTGGGACTGCTATTGTTGGTAAGCCATATTAGTTACAAAATACTGTTAAGCTCTGTTATCACATATCATTCTCAATGTTACTATAACTGTATGCATTGATTGGCACACTCATTAATCCCTCATTGTGAGACTTTAATATGTGAGACTTTAATATGCGATTATCTGAGATATTTTGCATAATTTTTCTGTTTTTTTCAAAGCATCCTGGAGATGAAGAAGTCTGATATGATACAACTGAATGTTGTTATTAATTCTCGAATATTAAACTTGCTATCATCTAGCCACCTGATTTCAGTTGTCAGGACAGTCTGATGTTTTCTGAATTACTTCCCAGTGTGTGGGGAAATCAGCCAACACAATGCTGGAGGGACGAAGACTAAGTCCTAATATCTGAATCATTTACTCATGTCTGATTTCCCTGTCTACAAAAACTTGCATAGACTCCCCATGCTCCTGTCAGGCAGGGCTGACACACACCGACATGCCATCACGGCCAATGTGGTAGACCTCAATAAGCGGAATCAGGCTCATCCACGGATCAGCTGATATTTTAGGTCATTGCCTGCTCTTGTAGCCAGTAAGATATTCCTAACAGTAATCAAAACCGCCTATAACTACTTGCACCCTTGGCAAGTGCTTATGAGTAAGCTCCAGGTAGAGCTTGATGAATATTCTGATTTTTAGGTTAGCCCAAGAGTGTTTTAACCTCTAGCAAAACTTTTGTTCCCTTTCTAATTCCCCCATCAGATGTACAGCCCCTGAAGTTAGGAGACACTGAAATATCCTTCCGTATTCGGAAGTATGGACGGAAAATGAAGAAGGTACTCGTCAAATAACAGGTGATTTAAAGTTGGATGCAATTTTTACTTTTTGGGGGGACAATCCTATTTATCAATAAACTAGTTCAATGTTTATGTCTACTATAAAATTTATAGCATCACATAAAGGAAAAAAAGAAGATATTGCAAAAAATTGTCTGAACTAAATTGTATGAGGGTTCTTCAAGAAGCTCATGGAAAAATGCATATTATGAAAAGACCAGCATATATTTCAAAATTGTTTAATTTTTTGCACCAAAACAAAATTATTTTCAAGCTTATTTGTTTATTGGGGAAAGAGAGAGAGAGAGGGAGAGGGAGAGGGAGAGGGAGAAGGAGAGGGAGAGAGAGGGGGAGAGAGAGAGAGAGAGAGAGAGAGAGAGAGGTCTGAAGGCCTGCAATAGCAGGAAGCTGGAGTCAGTAGCTAGAGCCAGGAATCAAACTCAGGAACTCCAATGCAGGAGCAAGCTTCTTAACTGCTAAGCAAATATCGACTTCCTAAATTCATCTTTTCCATAATTTTTTGAGATATCCTCACATTGGTTCTTGGCTACACTTCTCATAAATTCTATGGTGGTAAGTGAAAGTCATGATTTAAAAGTTTCACATCATTTGTTGGTGATTTGAGCCTATTTATGGAGAATCTTATAGGTAGGATAATAATCTGCAACTAGTAGAATTAATGCTGAAGATATTACTGTGAAACTAATTCAAACTTCTCAGATAATTTTATATGTCTTGAATTAAATGTATTGAAGTTAGTTACACAGATGGAAAACAGCGCAAATTGATTTTGGTCAATACTTTTATTTTTAAAAGCTTTAGTTTATTATGGTCTAAATTACTGAGGGCACCAAATTTAAAGCATGACACAAGCGAAGTCTCTTTAAAATGTAAAATTAGAGATAAGTTTCACAAGCTAATATTCAGGCTATTAAAAAAGGGCTTATTGTAAATGTGGGCATATGAGCACACCCTAAGAATAGCCTTTGAAATATATTCAATTTCTCTGCTTAACTATTATTTTGATAATGAACCAATTACTTAAAAATGTCATCAGATTATTCAAGTCTTGTATTTTCTTACCACTCTGGAGTGTATTTCTTTGGCGTACAATGGGAATAAAAATTCTGATTCTCCTTCCAGGCGAAGTCCATCTTTTGTTACATGCAAGTGACCCATTCCTGTCTATTTAAAAAAAGAGAGAAAGAAAGATATAAAACAGATGTTTTTGGTTGCTTTCTTTTCCATGTCTCTTTGTACTGATTTAAATTTCTTCACATTCTCACTAGAACTTGTTATTTTATGGTCTTTGATTGTAGCTAACCCAATGGGAGACTCACCTGTTTTTATCTGTTTAGCTTCTTTAAGTTTCATACCCACATAAACAATTGTTCACCTGTACTCCCTTTTTGAATGTATTGGAAGCACTTATATTCAACAAATTGAATGTTGATCTTCTCTCCCTTCCCCCAGGATAGAGGGTTTTGTCTATTTTTTAGAAAGGAGAGCAGAGCAGTGCAGAGAATGACACAGACACTTAAAAGCATTTTCTACAGTGACAGGTGAATTTCCAGGGCAGAGACAGGTGATTCTAAACAGAAGCACATTCTGTGTTGCAGACTTCTTAGGACTTTATCAACAAGTCGCATTCACAAGAATCAAATTAAATGTGTGATTCTTCTGCAAGGTCTCCTCTCCATGACCCACCGCTGTAGTCCTCTTTCCAAGGAGGGAATGTCTGGCTAAGGAAGCTCTAAATGCCGGTGGGCGTGGCCACTTCCACCCAGGCATAGGAGGTCCTTGGAGTCCCTTTTTGGCTTGTGATTCAGAGGATGGCGTGATTTGAAGGCCAAGCTCACATTAGAAAAAGCTTAACTACTGTTTGAATTCACAGAATTCAACCATGCAATTGTAAATCAAGGTTTAAGAAATTAAACCAATAGTGTAAATATTATAAAATCCATCATGAAATGGGTAATTAGCAGCATTTTGTTTCTACCAGGAATCTTTTTTTCATCATAGAATTAATCAAAGTGAAACTTCAAGATTATAATTCTTATGTGAAAATCTGCTGCTGAATTTCTGGGTTCAAGTAAATAAATGCCAACAGTTTTGTCAGAAAAATAAGCCCAGGCTCTACGGCACAGTGTGCTAAGCATCCGCCTGTGGCACTGGTTGTGTCCCCGTTGCTCCTCTTCACTTCTGATCCAGCTCCCTGCTAATGTGCCTGGGAAAGCAGCGGAAGATGGCCCAAGTGCTTGGGCTCTAGCACCCGTGTGGGAGATCCGGAAGCAGCTCCTAGCTTTGGATGGCCCAGCTCCAGCCATTTGGAGAGTGAACCAGTGGATGAAAGACCTTTTATTCTTTCTTTCCCTCTGTCTGTAACTCTACCTCTCAAATAAACAAATAATATCTTAAAAAACAAGCAAACAAAATAAGGATGATGCTAATCTTAGCCTCTGACATAGCTAATTTCACCATCAGATTGCCAAAGCTAATTGTCTCTGCTTTCAAGTGGTTATTTTTTTTTATTTGAAAAAATGAGGGAATTGACATAAGATGACTTAGGTATCTTTTCACCATATTCTATGATTTCAATAAAATATAATCTTTTAAAAAATAAGTCATCATACAAATCTTGAAAATAAAATACTTTTTGCTCAGCTTTTTAAAAAGATCAAATATATTAAGGTGTAACTTACAAATACCCTAGATCAAACTTCATTAAATAAGCTTAAATGCAGAATTCAGGTTACCATCTGATGATTCTAAGTTACTATTGCATGTCTGAATTTACTATCCTTTATTAAATAATACTGAAAATAGAGTAACAGGTTATGGGACTTTATAATTTTGTGCCAAGTTTAAACCAAGCATTCAATTAAAATAATCATGAACAGTTCGTGTGTGTGTGTGTGTATGCATGATCAAAGAATCACAGACTGAACACAATCCTGATTAAAACCACCATTCTTACCCAATCTGACTCTTAAACTAATGTTCTTCTCATTACTTTATAGAAGCTTTAAAGTAGTTTTTTTTTTTAGACAGTGAGAGAAAGACAGAGAGAAAGGTCTTCCTTCCATTGGTTCACTCCCCAAATGGCCGCCACGGCCAGCGCTGCGCTGACCCGAAGTCAGGAGCCAGGTGCTTCCTCTTGGTCTCCCATGTGGATGCAGGGCCCAAGCACCTGGGCCATCCTCCACTGCCTTCCCCGGACCACAGCAGAGAGCTGGACTGGAAGAGGAGCAGCCGGGACAGAACCGGCGCCCCAACTGGGTCTAGAACCCAGGGTGCCGGCACCACAGGCAGAGGATTAGCCAAGTGAGCCGCGGTGCTGGCCAAAGTCTTTGTTTTAAACAAATGAGATTGTTAGTATATAGTTTCAAGATACCACCTCCATTAGCATTCACATAAAAATAATTATGATCCCAGAAGACAGTAACAGCTTTATATTGCTGGTGGGAGAGCGGAAGTGGGTACATTGACATGAAAAAGCACATTAACATCGAGGGTAAAACTGCTCCACGTGATAGGAGCGTAATTCTGGTTCAGGCTGATGAATATCACTGCTCACAGGGAGAACCTGTGGCTTGTAAATGTCTATGTGGGCCTTGGCCTTCTTTATTTCTCGGTTGCTATCCTATGCTTCAATCACCCATAGAAAAATTATAATAATAGGAAAAACTCAAGGCATATCCCTGGGATAAGAATTACAGCTACAGTGCTTTTTGTATCTCAGACTCCAGTAATCACAGGGCTCGGGGTGCTCACGGCAGTGATAATGAGACCCCTCTGCACCTAGGATAACTTCAGATTTATTGTTCTCCTGCAAATGCAGTCCTAATAACCTCTTGTCTTAGCACGAAAACACCACTAGGTTAGCACGCGTTTCTCCTGCTTGTGACCTCTGCTTCAGTCCTTCTCTGTTACAAGAAACATATACATCAAAGATTTCAATTTGGTTTCCAGACTGGAAAGCACTGGTGGAATATAATACCTTGCAGAAAGAAACGACTTGGAAAAACGCCAAGGTTAAAAAAGCCACAGCACCCTATTTTTCTTTGAATCATACTTTCCATCAGTTTGTAAAACAAATGGGAAGCTGGGGCAGGCAGTTTAAAGCATCTGTGTCAGATAAAGGAAAATCTAATGACCCCGTGGGCAGGGCAAGGGAGAGGCAGGGGTGGAGCTGAGAGGGGACCAGGCTCAGTCCTGGTGCAGTCAGACCGGCGGTGAATGTGACTGAACGGAGGCATCATATGTGTGTGTGTGTGTGTGTGTGTGTGTGAGATGTTCCCAGCCAAGAAGGAAAATCCTTTTCCTAGAAGCCAGACAATATTTGATTGCTTTCCCTTCTCACAGGTTGCTTTCTTGGGCGGAGATGTGTCCTTTTCACAACTGATTTCATGAGACATGGAGACTTGCAGGGGTGAGTCTCAGGGAGTCCAGCAAACCTGCCATCAAGCCGAGTGAGGGAGGCGTCCTCCGGGTGTGGGGCAGTGTCATGCCAGCCTCTTAGTGACGCAGGGAAGCAAAGCTGGCTGATGAACGCAGGCACCTTCAGTGCCCTCCTGAAGCAGTCAGGACGGAAAGAGTGGGCATTGTGCTCATTCATACGATCACTGCTACAAGGTACTTTTTATCAACCCTTCATCCAGTCTGATAGCCCTCATTCGTAAAATATGGAACATTTTGGCTGGGGCTCTGTGGGGAGCAACTCGGACTAGACTAAGTTACTGGAATTAAAACTTATTCTATGCATCTGCTCTCCCACAATATGGCGCTGAGAAGGGAGTAACAACTTCTACGCAGCTGCCTCTCGCCAATTTGATTGACTGAGCTGCAGGAGCTGATCTTGCTCCTGATTGGAGGAGAGCAGCGTACTCGGCGTGTGGGTAGCAGAGTTGGGATTGGTGGAAGAGGACTATAAAGGAGGAGAGAGACAACATGCACCAGGAACATCTATCTGAAGGAACACCTGTGCAGCCCCCGAGAGAGCCGGCTGGCGGTGTGCCGCTCCCCCGCGGAAGTGGGGAAAGTGGCCAAGGGGGAACTGCCCTTCCACGGAGGTGGAAGGGTCGGTAGCCAACCCAGGAAGAACCAGCAGCAAACCCGGGGAGGGCCGAGCAGACAAAAGAACAGCACAGGGTCCTGTGTCGTTCCTCCACGAAGACGGGGAGCGACATAATGGTGCCGTGACTCGGATAGGAAACTTAGGAGGGAAGAAACGGGAAGAAGTGGAAAAATACCGGAGAGAGAGACTAGCAAAGAGCCTAGGGAAAAGCTGGATGAAAAAGGTGCCGGAAGAAGCTATTGAAAGCCTAGGCATAGACTCGGATACGGACTACGGGGGGAAGCTGGGAGAAATCTCTAAGTTCGAAAGCGAAAGTGAAAGCTAGAAAAAACAGACTCAGATACGGACTGTGGGGAGAAGCCAGGAGAAATGAGGGAGGAATATTGTTGGAAGAAAACTTAGGGAAACATACCAGGTAGAGAAAAATGTTAGGGAAATTGAAGCTGCGGGGTCAGGCCGAGGCGGAAACGTAAGCCAGCTTGGAATTCTTTAAGTCAGCCCGGGGAGCAAAAGGCGAAAAGTTAAACCAGAGGCGGAAACGTGGGCCAGGTTGGAATCCGTCAGATTAGCCCGGGGAGCAAAAGACAGGAAGCCAAACCATAAGGCGGAGATGCTTAAGCTAGGTTGAATTCGCCAGGTTAGCCCGGGGAACTTAGATTAAATACCGGTGGTGGCGGAAATGTAAGCTACGCTGTGTGACTCGCGGAAGCCGCCGCGTGCAGAGAGAGCACGGGGCGTGAATAGATAGGGAACGTGGGGCTAATGCGAGGCCGTGGTGTGGACGCGAAGGGGTGTGGAGACCGCGGAGTGCGCGCGCGAAGCCGGGAAGCCGCACAGATGAGAGAAGCGCGGGCTGAAGCGGCTCAGAGCCGGGAAGCCGCCGAGAAGCAGCCTCGGGGCGGGCACCGGGAAGCCGCGGAGATAAGAGAAACAGACGTTTAGAAGTAAAATGAGAGAAATAGGAATGCTGGCAGATAGAAGTAAAATAGGAGAAATAGGAATGCCCGGAGGTAGAGAAATAGGGAAAAATAAGGCCTCCCCACAACACAGCAATGAGAGAGCTTGGATTCGGTCTGCCTGATTAGGGAGGTGGTGAGCACCTGCGGGC